CCAAAGAATGCCAAAGAGCCTAAAATGCGTTGGATGAAACAAACTAGTATATCACTCCATAGAGTTCCTTTTGTTGTGGCGAGGCAGGCCCCTATTTTCCTCGTTTGCTCCAAACGACAGCGCTTACCCAACCAATTTACGTCTTTGATGATCAAGTGTGAGATTTCAGGGTTCCCCCTTTTCTCTCCACTTTTACCACTACGGCTGTACGGTAAGCGTTGAGGTCGCCTCCCTGACCCAAGCCTACTTCAAAATCTCTGAGCGCAGCCGCAGCTTCACAGATGAGCTCTTCGCTGTCGACTGGGCCGCAAAGACGAACACGTTTTGAAGAATCCTGGGAGAGCACGCACAAATTTGGATATGGTACCAGTTTCAGGATGTTTCAGCGTCGAATCTCCCAAGGTTTTGAGTTTCGATTGACGGGGGGTTGTTTCAAAAGGATTCAAATCGAGGTGGTGTCTTTGGCTTTTCAGCTCTTGGCAAAAGGAACGAAAGAAACCTGTGGGACCGGTCAAAAAACGAGGTACGCATGCTCTTGAAGAGGTTGAAAATGCTGGACAATCAGACCAGGCTCAGTCATTACCAGCCACGATTACACCTCGCAGCTTTGGTTGGTTGCATTCATTTGCACAGGCGACGCGTCAGGGAATATCTTACACTGATGCAACTCGGTACTTTTCGTCCAGCATTTGCAACTTGCAGCCATCACACAATCAAATCATTTGTTGCTACCAAAGCTTTGGAGAGCATGCTGTTGTTTCCATGATTGAGGTTCGAAAGGCGCAGAATTATGGCAAAGGAGTCAAACCTCTTGCAACAGTGCTTTGGCGCCACCTAAATGAGTGTCAGTTGGCCTCCTTCGCAGCACCCAAATGTCAAAGCAGACGGGCTGATGTGGTTGCACCACCCAATGGACCAAGGTTGCCAGATGAGCTCAAGGAAGAGGCATGCAGCAAGCTGCAGCAAGCTTTTCAGATCACTGGGATTTGCCAAGCTAGCTACAAAGGGCATCGCTACTAGGAGCTTCTTGCTCCTAGTAGCTTCTTGTTACTAGTAGTAAGGCCAGGAGCCCCGATCGTAGCGTCCTTGCTCCTAGTAGCGATGCCAGGAGCCCCTAGTACTGTTTCAGTCGACTTCACCTATCTTCGCAGGTTGAGAGAGCCAAGCTACTACAGCATTTGCTTAGGCAGGGCCATTCTGCATGAGAGAGACGCTGCAACTCTGAGACGACTGGAGCATTTGAAGAAAAACACCATTGAAATCATTGAAATCACTTACTGTAAAGTATTCAGCTCCTTGTTACTACATAGTAGCTTCTTGTTCCTGGTAGGAGTGGCTTCCAACCTAGTAGCGATAGCCTCCAACCTAGTAGTGTCCTGGTTATCTCTATACGAATGGGATGAGAGCTCTTTAGGGACTAACCAGCTGAGGTGAGCACGTGTCATTCTTTGATCACTAATTCAGCAACATCCATGGGCCTTTGGATGCCTTTGGTGTGAAATCGGATTGTGACGGGAAGGCTTCCTGGCATGGATGAGCTCAACAAGCACCAGCTGGCGGAGATTTGCCACAAAGAGAATCACTGTGCTGCCTTGTACGTGATGTGCCCTGGGGATGTGGTGCCGTGACAGCAAAAGGTGAAGCTGCATTTCACAGACATGACATGTTGCATGCTCACAGACATGCTCGTTTTGCTGTCTTCCAATTGAAAAAGGGGTAGGGTTGCAACGGTTGCACTGCCGCCCAGGCGTGCACAATGGGAGAGGCAAGGGGCAATGGTTGGGGCTGTCAAGTTGTCGAATGCTTTGGTAAGTTGCTTTGCACCTTCAACACAAACGGCGTCGACTTGATCCCAAGCTGCCTCCTCTCCAGCGTATCAAGATGTTTTTGTAACCAGTTGGACCAACGCCAACGCCTGAATTGCAAAGCTACAGTGACAAGTGATTAGACGACTTAGCCTGGGCAAAGCTTGCATGATCTTGCATGCGTGGGTGGGGAGGGTCTTGGCTGTAGGATTGTAGTTGTAGCAAAGCCCACTTAAGTTTCCTTCAAAATCTCAAAATCTAGGAACCAAATGAACAGCGTGAGCTATCCTGCGTCCAGCTACTACTGTAGTAGCTACTTAAGCTACTAGCTACCTCTAGCTACTACCTACCTCTAGCGGCCTACCTCCCTATTACTAAAATGTTTTAAACACTATATGAATTTCTAAAATTAACAAAAATATGGTTTCCCAGATGCGGATGTCAGGAAGCCGTGTGTGCCTGGGTCCTTTGTGCCGGACGACTTCAAGCCTTAGACTCTTTCGGCGAAGCTCCTCGGAGCAGAACCAAAAACGAAGCAAACAAAGAGGTAAAAAAGCATCAGATAAGAATAGAGAGTACTTATTAGTACTTACTCCACGAAGATTAGTTTGTGAGAGTACTTATTGCTTAAGCTAGTACTTGCTTACATTTCCTTACTAGTTCATGAGAGTACTTCAAGCGATTACCTTGCTTACCCTCGACGGACAATCTTCGGGCTGCATCAAGTCAAACGCAGTACGGGTTCATGCATGAACGGCAGGACTCATGGACGGCTCTTTACAGCGTCCCGTGATTGATCGCCAGGTGATGATTCTGGGCGAGGAGTCTCTCGATGCCATCGATGAGGATTGCCTCTGGACTGACCAGCCCATGGAGCATCCGGGCCGCAGCCAGGGTCTGTCGGACTGTGTCGCTCCCGTTTGGGTTGGCTGAGCTGGATCATGAATCCACATGAATTCTTTGGATGTGAATTTGTGAACCTCCGGACTCATGCATGCGTTTCAAACAGGACGAGGGTGCTTGTTTGGTAGAAAGTGTACTATGTCACTATGTGTACTCTCAATTTTGATTTTCTCGGTTTTGCTACCCTCTCGATGTTGGAGCATGTTTTGGCTATCTTCGTGTCGCGAGATACGGGCTTGATGCAAAAGTTGCGCAGCTCAGCCGGCCAAGGTCGCTCTTCACGGTCACAGCGTATACCGCTTGCGAGATGCTCAAGATCAATAGGGACTGCGGTGGCTTTATGTGAACCGTTCAGATGTGTCAAAAAGAGCCGGAGGTGTTACCTGTTGGGTTGCCAGTCTGTGGATGTTCACTACAGTCCACTATATATTAAAAGCAGGTACTTTCGCAGCTCAAAAAGTTCACAACATGCACTTTTGCACTTGTAGTTGTGCATTGTTTTTGTACCAGTATTTAGTTTCAGCATGTTTCAGCATTGGTCTATTGCCTTGTTACTTAAATGAAAAGGTGTCCGCAGACTTGTCAATTGTCTTTGTCCCGACAACTGGGTTCATCATGGTCGTGGGAAGCTGTTAAGACTTGAATCGCTAGTTTTGAGTTCCACAATGTGCCGAGCATGGGGGTCTGGCTGGACAAGTTGTGCAGGACAAGTTCATCAGCATTGCATCCCAGCAGGAGGAGGTCGACAACAGGGTCCACATCACAAGTCTTTGGATAAGCTGGAACAAGCTGAACGGGAACATTTTGTTGGGACAAATTAAGACACAGCGCAGCCTGGCTTTGTTGCACCCATAGCTGTAGCTTTCACTAAATAGGAGAAACATGGAGGAAACACGGTTTGAAACACATGCATGCACCTCTTGCTAATGGGATCAACATGGCGAACGTGCACAGGTCTGGAGATGCCAATCAAGCAAGAGAAACGCTCCAATGGCACAAAAGGCCTTGCCAAATCAACCTATGGCTTCTAGGCTGCATCCTGGACATGTTACATATGACGCAGAAGCCTTCTCCCTACCTTTTCTCATGTCATCATTTATGGCGGAAATGCAAACCTCATCCAACAGTTGTGATGCATTATTGAGTTGCGCACAGATACACACATTGTCATCCCATCACAATCACATGGGGCAATTTGCCTCGTCCTTGCTAAGAACACAACAGTCTCGGCTGCAGCTACCGTGTCCTCCATCTCGGCTGGCTGAAATGGTGCTGGCAGCAGGAGACAGAATCACTGTCACATGGGGACCCAGAAGGGCTTTTTGCCACCTGCACGCATTTGCAGAAGCATGTACCAACAACAGCATAATTATGCCGTTTGCTATCAAGCTCCAGATGGGTGGACGGTTCCCTCCGCAAAAAGAGAACAGAGATGCTGCAATTTGCCAGGACACCTGCACTGGATGGCATATTTTTGAGGTACTTGGCCTGTCGGGCCTGTGAAGGAAGAGGTGATTTGGCCCTGCCTCGCTGCTGGTACTCAAACGATTTGGCCACTCTAGTGTCACGTTCATACCGCGCTGACATACCTATTTCACAGTGAATTCACATCAACATGAGGCATGGCCAAACGCTCATAGATTTTCCACCGTCCATGGATGGGGCTTAATTGAAGCTTTTCGGCACCGTCTCTGCCTGGTTTCCTTTCAATTTCAGGGCCTGGCTTTCGCAGCAGCTGCGAAGCAGCCAGGAGTTCGTCCCAACTGGGCGAAGAAGGGAGTCCCAAGAGTTCAAGGGCTTCGAATGAAACCGCCCTTTGGTGTTTCACAGCCAGTTTGGAAGCAGGTGAGAAGTAGACCGAAGGGAGGCATGGACTTGGCCAGCAACGGAAGCAATACTGGTCTTCAAGCCTTCAAGTGCCGTTCCGCTTGGCTTTGTTTTGGAAGCCGATTGCGACTCATCTGCTACCAATCTGAACCCAGACCATTTGCGGCTGCTCAGAGCGAAAATGAACCCAACCAAACACTTGACGAGAAAATGGGTGTTATAGGTCCAAGCTCCCTTCCCCCCAAAGAAACTAAACCCTGGCAGGTTGAATTTGTGGGTAGTTTGCTTGTTCATCGTGTGGGGTCAGCAAGGGTCCAGGCTTTTGGGCCCAGAGCCACAAAAGCGAAGCACGCCGCTTCAATGGCATGCGGCAAACGCTGTGTGTTAAGTTATGCTGTGCTTTTGTGGCTGCAGATGCCGTCACTATTCTGCATTTTTATTGTATGATCTTGTAAGACTCCAGAGGCCCACATGCGATATTGGGAGAAGATGCCAGACGCGCCGGCCTCGTTTTGGGATGGCTATGCCAACAGCAAACAGTGCAAAAGGTGTGTAATTTTATGATGCCTTATAGGTTTGCATTAGCATATTGTTTGGACTGGGACTCATTGCTTGCTTTTCTGTATGCCATCGCTAAGTCGCTAAGAGTTATCCTGTTATCCTTGCACTTCAGGAAGTGACTTACTCCTCAGCCATCAGTGCATGTGAGCGATCCCTCCAATGGATGTGGGGTACTTGAAGACTGCATTGCAATATGTGGAAGACATCGATTCAAGTTCCTCAGCTAAGGCATGCGCTGGCACTGCTCGACATGATGAGGTTGGCATATCCCACATTTTCTTGGCACTGAGGGCTGGTGGCAAGCTAGGGATATGCCGAATGATGGCAAATGCTCATGTAACTGCTTGTTCATTCCATGTTCATTACCAAGGCCAGGGTTCGTTAGGCAGATCGGTGCACAATGATCACAATGTTAGCAACATGTTTGGTAAACGGGGGGTTTGCCCGGACTGCAACATGCGGAGGGCCAGAAACCAATGCGTTTTACAGGGTATTTTGTGTTTCGGGACACTCAACTTATCGTCTTGGAGTTCACTAACTCCAAGACGGTAACTTGAGTGCATTTTACGACCGTCCAAAGACCAGTCAGTCCCATGCGCCACGACATCAGTCCTCTTCCCAATTGAGCCATGACAGCTCACTGTACATTGGAGCTGGCGGACAACTGTCTTGCACGGCCTCTCTGTGTATTTTCACATCCTGTAGCATTGAGTCCAACCCTGGATGTTGTCCGAACATGTCTGAACCACAATGCTGCGAGGCCTTCAACGTGCTCTCGTTGCAGCTTCGCATCGCAACACCCAAAAGCGCAACGCGAAGATCAAATGAACCGCGAATGCAACGTCACGACGCCGGTAAAGAAACGTGAAGTTCGGATAAGTTCGGCATGCGCAGCTAGTAACACGAACGAAACTGTCCCCAGCCCCCCCCAACCTCCCCCTCACCCCCCTTGACCCAACATGTTGCACATGTGTTTGCCTCTTCAGCGCGTTTCACACAGATCACATGGTGCAGGCACAGCTACGAACGGCTCTGATCCATATGAAACCATCAAATCTGGGCTTATCTTGGCCACTCAGGTGCCAGGCGCTTCCCCCCAACCTCCTGTGCAGGGGAACTGAGGGCGTTTGTCATGACCCGTGCGGGTCACATGTGTTTGGCCATATTTTGCCGAGGCTATGGTGCGGCGGTGGGCGCAGGTGATTGGAGGTTTGCCTTCCAACTATTGGAGGCGATCAAGACAGAGCGGCCCGGCACCCATGGCGTTGGGGTTCCAGACAGGCGTGAGCACGCCTTGCGTGGCATTCTTATGGCAGAATTTTCGCCGCGGGTACCTGGTGGTGATGGTTGTGACCCGCAGCCAGGTCATTTTGATGTTGAGCTTGGCCGGGAATAGGTACAATCTCGAGCAATTCAACTTTGCATACAACACTGCCGACTGGCCCAAGCTGGTAGATTGATATAAATGGCCCGTTCGCACCAAAATGTGGCTCAACTTCCTCAGCCTTGCCCACTTAGGCACTCAGCTACGTAATTGTAGCGGTTCCGGCCAGCGCAAGCCAAAAGCCTCATCAGGGTCATTGTATTGATTGTCTTGCTCTGCAAGATTGCTGCATAGGAGGTCATGGGAGCAAAAAAAAATGAAAGTCACCCTAAATCAACGAATCTCAGCACAATTCTTCGCAACCGTTTGCGCTCTTTCTATCACTGCAATGAGCTGAATGCAACATGCATTCTGACGCCATGGATTTGACCCTGAATCCTTCGGTGCCAGGCAGCTTGGGTTTCATAGTGAACAAACTGCCTTGGTCTGCTTGAGAGAGACGGATTGTTCAAGTGTTGACAACCGAGAACTTTGTGATGCTTGGAACTTATACTGTAGATTGTAGATTATCATGAATATTTTGCACACATACATGCACACATACCATTACATTACATACTGTTATATATATTGCATTACGTTAGTTTCATTAATATTCATTAGGTAGACAGATAGGTAGATAGATAGATAGCGAGGCTGCCTGCCTGCAGCCATGTAAATGCAATTGATTCGAGAAATGATTCTCGGCCTCGCCTCCCACTTCTCTCAGATTTGCCAGAGCAATTGTTCGAGTAATTGAACTAGACTCTTTCAGACTGGAGGTCTAAGTGCTTTTACGAGACTTGCCAGACTTGTCAGACTTGGACCCGTTACGCTTCTGCGGACGCCCCCTTATAGATCTCACAGATACCAAAGTTGTCCAGCATGTAGACCCACCCAAAAGCTCTCCGGATGTGTCGCCCTTCTTCCTATTTTCTGGTCGCTGCATTGACGATGGCTAATCCTTGATGTTTTGCATCCATGGGTGGCACCGAAACAGTACAGTCAATCAGAGCTTCCAAACTGTTCAAACCAGGTCCTGATTGATTATCATTTAAGTCACCTGCCAAATCAGGGTCTTAGACCGACTTGGGGCCAGGCCAGGGTGATCATAGCTGGTCCGAAGTTGTCTTCGCCCAGGTTCCATGCCGGAGCCCGGGACTGGGGATGGAGAGGAGATCAGCAGGCTGGATGGTTTCGGTTCCACACGGCAGCCACGAGCACCCTGTTCTGGCAGGCCAGGCACAGCCATGTCCATCTCAGCTCCTTGACTGCCAAGAGTCGTATTTTTTTTACTTGGGCAAGGCTGGGAGGTTTTGAACGGGTTGCATTTCGGCAACTTTTCTCTCCACTAAGTAGGTTCGGTGTACCTTGGAGCGCCTGACTGTCTCAAGGAACAAGCTGGCATGGGTGAAGACTCTTGCTTGCAGAGGGAGATTGGATGACGTCGTTTTGTTCAAGATGGATGACCATTGATTGTTTGGCTGGTTGAGCCTTGTGTCTCGGTGCTTGATGGTGCTGATGTCGAACTGCTCCCCGTCAGGACACCATGGTGTCCTTCATCCGGTCCTGCATGACCAGCATTCTCCGGCCCTTCGGAGAAACAGTGGACGAGCTGCAGAGGCGGAGCGCCGAGCCGGAGACGACGGTCGTTCGACGTTGTGTGACGTGCTCGCAGTCCTGCCAGGTACGTCGCAACGCTGTCAGAGAGTGTGAGTGCCTTGCTCACATGAGTTGATGGATTTTATTGATGTTATTGCATGTTATTGCTTTATTTTTGTGTGGCACATCGCGCCATTCCATGCCATTCCATGCCGTTTTTCTACATATGTCATTTTACCCAAATGCAAGGGTCTTGGGCCCCCAATATTTCAAAACACAAAAGAGCACAGAAGAATGTCGGGGTGTCGGGGGCCAGGCAGGGGCCAGAGGCCAACATCAAGGGCTTTGGCCGCTTCGATGCCATGCTTTGACTGAGGCTCTGTGGCCAATGATACTGAGTCCCATGCTGCGACGCTGGCTCAACAGGCTGCCCTCATCAGCGATTTGCGGAAGGATCTGGATCGCACTGCAAATGAGGCGCGAAGGACACCAGGTGTGCAATGGTGAAATGCATTGAAATTCAATGAAGCTCCCGTGCCACATTGCATGAGCTGTCGCATGCGAAGCGGCAGGTCTTGCAAACACAGAGCCTCCTGGATGTTAGCATCAAGGAGAAAGCCTCCTTGGAGAACAGACTCGAGGACATTTGTCCCAGAGTGGGCCAGTTACTTGTCCAAAGCCAGGGATGTCGGTCGGTGTCGTCAGTGTTTAGGCTGAACCCCCACTATGACACAAAGACCTCTTCCAAGCTTTTTGAAATTATCCTTAACGCTGGTCACAGCGTGTTGCAGACAAGCTCGATATGTTCTTGCTCAAAAAAACAGGTCTCACCAGGCGCGGGTCCTTTCCCGAAGACATTTCGCCAACCAGGGTGGTTGCTGACAATCAGCAGTTCCATTGGTGCATGTGGCACATTTCGCCGAGGCTGGAGGAGCAGGCCGCTGCGGTGAGTGATGCTGTGAAGGACATGGGAATTCGGAATACATGCGAATGCCTTTGGCTGCTGGATTTCAGCGCCTTTGTAGCTCTTATCATGGCCTCTCATCAGTGCCCTACTGGTAATTACCCATAGACTACGGTGGATTGAGACGTCATTTTGCTGCACACAAATTGGATTCCTGTTCCTACTTTGGCCGATGCAGTTTTGCTTTGTGAGTCTGATGATCAGAGTTGCAGCAGCTTCCAGGAACTGCAGCCTCGCGTAAAAGAGACTCGCTTGAAGCTCGCAAGGCATGGACACGGGATGACACGGGCTTCCAGCGGCATACAGGACTTTTCTGGTAGGCACACATCAAAAGAGCTCCAAACACCTATATACATATAATATATAAATACTAATTACTTGACGTTTCAATTTTCATGAGCTTTTGCGCGTGTTGGAGTTTTTGCCTTTCCTCCACACTCTTGACAGACAAACCCCTCTGGGTAGCACCTGTCCTGTTGCGACTTGGGGCTTCAGAACAGCAGGTAAGCTGCACGGAATATTGCGCGACAGACTAGAGCCAATCACCCGTCATCAATCCTGTTAAGGCCCATTGTCCCAATTATTTGTGCAATTGGCATGCTGGCGCACACAGACACCGTGTTGGTGTTTGCTTTTGGGGTAGGGTTACCAATCATTCATCACGGCCTCCGTTGGTGCATGCAGCAGTGCAGCAGAAGACATCGCATGTATTAAAAAATTATCATATATGATCATATTATATCACATTATCATGTATTGCAATATATTGTAGTTATACAATTCTATATGCACACATGCATGTATAATATATTAGGGCCTTTTGTATGCCTATGTCACAAAAGGGGTCCAACCGGAAAATCAATCTTGGATGTTCTTTCTGTGAAGGACTTGTCGGACAAGGCTTGGTTCTTCCTTGCCTCGTGCCAGGTGTGAGGAGTCCAAGTTCGAGACCGATCGAGATATCGCACACCTCCGCCGCTTGGCCGACCGAATTCGGCGACCGGATGGATGGCATGGCCCGGTTAAAGCCGTGTAGCTTGGACCAGCGAGACGGCTTGGCGAACCTGGCACTCAGAAAGTTCTCTGTGCTGAGGTGCACCCTGTGAAACAGCCCACAAGATCCCACAAGCATTAGATAATTTTGGCTGTATGACAATGCTAACTTCAACATACAGTGACAGATAGTGACAGCACAAAAGCAATCGCGACTAAAAAAGCCTGACAATTCTGAATCTGTCGTTTTTGTACTGTGCACCAATCCACTGCTGGTCGTTTCGGTTTGTCACAACTGGCCCTGACATAACACCAAGCAAACGCTCACCATCAGGCTGAGCATACACAGCTGCCAGGGCCGATGCAGCTTCTCCCTGGAACGCCGATCCATTGCGCAGGTGATCCCCTGCTGCTACTGCGTCCATTGGCCTCTTCTACAGAGCACGAGCACGGACTCCGAACGCTTGCTTCCAGACCAGCTCCACCAATGAGGCACCAAGAAACGGCAAATGTGTCCTTTGGGCTCGCCAAAATGCAGGCAGTCCTGCAAGGAGATTACAACCGCTCCATTTCCTTTCAGCACCACATCCTGGAAACCTATGCAAACTATTGCAAACTCAAAGTCTGAAGGTGGTGAAGAAGCTACTAGGGGCTTTGGCCTCACTGCTAGGAGCAAGGACGCTACTAGGGGCTCCTGGCCTTACTACATGGGACTACTACTGGGACAAGAAGCTACTAGGGTTCAATTCTGCTCCTTCGTCTCGGGCCTCTAGGAGCCATCGACCCCTGACGGAAGCTCAAACATCCAGTCTGCTCCCTGCCAGTCTGTAAGGCACCAAAGTGACCTGCACATACCCGAACTACTTGCACCAGCACACCACACAGTGTCACATAGTGTCACTGCCCCGCCTGGCACTGCCTCTAGCCGAAAATCTGGAAGAGCGTCCAATGTCCTTAACCATCCATTTTCAACATTTTTCAACCCATTGCAGCCCAGAGGGCGTCCACAACCAGCAACAATCGGGCATTTGCTTAGATCTCCTTAGCACGATCATCAGAAATCTTGGACAAACTTCGCCCGCCTGCATCTCGAAGGCACTGAAGCATGCTATCCACTCCTAATGCACCTTTTTTGGCCTCAAACCTAGCCCTCCATACTCGCTCATGCGGACAGTATGGAGGGTTTCGCTTCTTGTTACCAAGAGACCACACCTTTTTCAACGCAGTTCCAAAAGACTTCAAGAAACTATTCCTCCTACTGTCGTCAATGTTTTGGCACTCCTTTCGAGAAATCATCACAGAACAACGAACTAAGCCTGGGATCCC